TACCATTAGCAGCACTTCTTTCAACGGCCATAACTTTCTAGACACGCTTGAACGAAGCTTTGTCGCAAAGCACCGTGGCAAGACTCTCGTAAACCTGACAATTACAAGAACTCGTACCGTGGATCATGAGTCGCAAATGAAATAACCGCCAGCGACTAATAACCGTCCTCTCTGTCTCTTTGCCTCTTGCTTCGTACCACTATGTTCCTTCTAATGCCTGCACGACTGTGACAAAACGTTATTTGTTGGGTGTACAACCGTCAGTGAACCAAATTAGGAACGTGCAACCGCAAATTAAGACGCGCCTGGCCGTTTCCCGTCTGTATGTTCGGTACATTGTACCGTCTATCTACACAAACTCATATCCTGCGACCACCGCTGCGACAGCATTAATTTCCAGTTACAACGACACCATTGCCGCGGAAATTTACACTTTACTGAGTATTTTCACATTTAATTGGGTTTTAATTTCAATTAAATCTTACACGATACAGCCGCAGGAATGTATCCAATTAAGAACATGATTCTATAACGACTAATAATTCTGTGATCAAAACAAAGTAATATTGATCCGATCTCACTCGTAGTGTAAACAAAATGTAACCATTGAAATTAATGATTACAGAGTACGAAAACGGGAAGCGGATAATCGAATCAAAATTCCGTTTATTGCAAGTGCTAAAAGCCCGCAGTTTATTGCGCTTCGAGGCGGTAGGTCCCAAGAGGAGTGCGTAACAAAACAGAGAGTCCTCTTTAGGTTGTGCACGCGTGAGCATCGCATAAATTTCAGAACTAGTTTGTAAGAATTTAGTTGGCCAGTAGCTACGAAGGTGAATGCGTCTAATACGGTTTTACAAGAACAAGTACCTATTTAAATATAGTTTTGTACGATCAGGTACAAGATCGAGATCCTTTCCGTTTAACATTCGCGATCGTTCATGAATGCGACTAGACCCTGCCAGATTTTTATGTATTTCAAAACGATCCAATTCTTTATTATTGGAAATTCGGTGGGGAATAGTAAGTTGTGTCGAAATTCGACTAAATCGAATCAAAAGTTTAAATAAAAATTAACTTCGGAGAATGCGTCCCTTCTCTTTCTCCTACAATAAGAAGAATAAAAAAAACCAATAGTATCAAAAATCAATAGCAAAAATGAAGTGCACAATAGTAAGTGTACCGAGAACAACGGTAAGTATCGAGTGTATATCTATTGCCAAGAACTTATCAGCGAGTACCTCTATTATGCGGGCGGTGCTTATCATCAGCAACGAGTATTGTACAATGTCATTTATAAATATTTACCATAGTAATAATTCTTTCTTTCGAAGAAAACATTTCAAATTCCAAGTTTAACTTGAAATAAAAAAAAAAGTTCTAATTAAAAAATTGCATAAAAATTCAAATTTTTATATCGTTACTCGTTTAGTATCAATGTTTTAGAAAATAACTCTAATA